GGATGACTTTAGAGTATCGCAAGATTCGTAGGTAAAATATAAATTCATTTTTAATCGAGTCACTTAAACACCCTGGTATTACCTAGACTACGCCCGGCATAGATGAATAGAGAGTTTAAGCAATGACGACGGCGACGGGGACGACGCCTTGTAAAAAGTGAATTTATATTTTACCTTCCAATTTCGCAGTGGCTGGATTTGTTCAGTGTGCCTATCTGTCTCAGAACTTGCTCAAGCTGAATATGTGACGCGAATGTTAAACGCCAAATGGAAATACGAAAAATAAGCCGCCGTCTTCTGCGTTTTCCAAAGTACGCAGAACTTAGTCGTTTCACGTTGTTATTTTGCAGAGGACAGCAAAGAAATGTACAAAGATTTAAAACGCACGTGCACAGCTATTGTTCTACTAATTAACCCTTTTGTTTGGTGGTGTTCTAGTTGCCGTTGCCGTCGTGGTTTGCTTAAGGTCCCTATTAATGTCAGAGGATGTTTCCCACGAGGAATTAATGGTTTACACTGTCAAGCTAATAGGGACCTTAAGCAAACCACGACGGCAACGGCAACGAGAACGCCACCAAACAAAAGGTTTAATTAGTAAAACAATAGCTGTGCACGTGCGTTATAAATCTTTGTACATTTCTTAGCTGTCCTCTGCAAAACAACAACGTGAAATGACTAAGGCCCCATCCCCACGTACCCGGATGTTTTTAATCCGCAACTTTTTCTTTCCGGATTCAAAACTTTCCTCGTCCACACGTAGCGTATTCAAATCGAATTCGCCTATCCACACGCATCCGATGGTATCCGGATTCACTCTAGAGAAACTAGCCCTACACGTTGTACCGCCATATTGGTTTATTGTAATTCGGTAAGAGACTGGACGTGATTTTGCTACGCCATCGGATTCGAAAATATCCGGATTTTCCGTCCAAACGTTATTGGATTCGTTGCAGATTTATATTTTTCCACTCTGGAGACCGGTTTCAAAAATATCCAGATTCGCTGCCGAATTCGCTGAATGTGTGTGGACGGAAGCCGCGCGGGCCTCGCCACAAGAAATCCTGGATGTGAGAAGCGCGCGAAAGGATTTCGCGCAGCCATTTTTTTCTCGCGGTTTTCTTTCGCGTCACGCAAGACGGACTAAGCAAAAGAGGGACTACTCGTAGGCTAAGACAGATGACCATTCAGATCAACTAAGCATTCTACCGCTTTAATGCCTCATATATCTTTCTTTCTTTTTTCTTAACTCTTTACTAGCTGTACGTCAGTGCATTACCAAGTAATCATTCTGGAGACCATATCTTACCCAGTAAAACCAATGTACATGAACTGACTCGTGCAATCTCAATTTATTGCCGTTCTCCTCTCATATTCCTCAGGTTTTGTCCCAGGGATCGTCTCCTCTTGCATTCCTACAAGAACACATTGAGAATTATGTCGAATGTGTCAAAGATCCCGATAAAGAAGGCTGTTCCTTTATCCTGAATCCGCCCAAGAGAGCGCCAGTCAAAAGTGATGATAAGGAGTCTGGAAAACAGCAGCACTTTGAGGCCAACAGACATTATGCCTAGGACTAGAAAAATTTCACTATCTGGGATTGTTGTCGATGCGTGAAAATCTTGTGGTGTTGAGGTGTTTTTGTGTGTTAGGGGCCCTGTAAGTTTCCCACTAACTAACTTCAAAAATTCTGGTGAAATAAAGCAGGGACTATTTGTAACTCTTATAGGAAATCGTTCTCAGGTGATCAATGTATCCATGGCAACCATATATTGGCAGGCCACATTTAGCCAGTGTTTTTCCGAGTGTTACTATTTTTAGTTAAGTGTCTATATTCAAGTGTGAGTGTTTCGTCTGGTGTGAGGTATCCTCTTGGTTAGCAGGAGGTTATACGTTATTCAGTAAACAATCGAATCCAACTACGCTGCCTCATTTTGGGAGTCACGTGCTATATGCAGCTATAATTTCAGACTAGAGTTAGCTTTTACTTTTGCATGGAATATTTTGTGTTATATCGTTCAATAAACGAGTTGCATGTGGTGTGTTTATTATGGCTATTACCTTCGATGTCCCTAATTGTATCCTTTGGTAAAAACGGAGCAGCAATGCTTCGTGTTAAGAGACGGCAAAAACCTGTATTCACACTTCTTTATTACACCTTAAAGTTGTCACAATTGTCAATTATTTAAAGCCTAGCTAAAATGGTGATATCACACTTATATCTCAACGTGTTTGCTAAAATAAAGTTAAAAACTATTCTACGGCTGCCATAAGTTTCTCACAAACTATTTTTTTATATATAAAACACCTGGGAAAATATTGAGACGAGAATTAACTCACAACTAAATGTTAAAAGCTTACTAGCTATTCCTTGCCAGATGTTACAAGATTAATCATAACAATTACAATTTCCTCAAATGTGATTGGTGCATAAACTGCTGTATTTTGCTCTAATTAATCTGCAAAGTTGTAATCGGACAGTGTAATCGGACAGTTGGCTGTAATCGGACACCTGTAATCGGACAGTTACATGAGCCAATCATTTTAAGTCCTCTCCACTAAATCCACCAATCAAAACATTGATTACAATCACTATAGTAACCACTGACTGAGACTGACTTTGTAAAATTGTGGAGGTTTAGTCTCTGGTGACTGTTTTCCATATTTTATAATTATGATATTTAAAATGACAA